TGACTCTGTACCTTGTCCAGCTCTTGATTTTTTTAAATATATTATTTAATTGATTTCAGAGAGGGAGAGAGCGATCAAAACATCAATGATTAAGAGTGAATCATTGGGGATTGTGCCAGAATCGAACCCGCAACCCTTCAGTCCGAAGGCCAATGCTCTATCCACTGATCCAAACTGGTCAGGACAAGCTCTTAATCTGAATTGGGTCAGTTCTCTCAGTATCTGATCCATCAACCACAGCAGATGTCTGGTAAGGTTGTGACACATTCCCAACATCTGCCTCCATAACACTATGAGAAGCCATCATACCTCTCTAGTCTTAAGATACAAGCACTAGAATTCTAATTATTTTTTTCTAAGCTGTTTATTTCCTAAAATTAATACTAGGCCTTTGGTCATTTGAATAGTCATCTTCTTTACCCATGATGGCAACTTAAAATATTAGCTAATGCTAAAGCATATATTACTGTTTTTTATTTATGCTGATTTTTATGATATCTAACAATATCTATCTACAGATCAAATAACTTTCTTTTTTATATCTCTAGACTAATAAACAGCAATAAGACCATGAAATAAGATGTGAATCTGAATCCCAACTCTATCGCTGCCTACTTCCCTAAATAAGTAAGATCTTTAAGCTAAGCCCCAGGGTTCTCATTCACAAAATTGAAACAGAGATAATAACAAACTAAAGAATGGTGTGAGGCACTAAATACAGTTCTTGGTACATAGTAAGCACTAAAAAGTTAGCAATCAGCAGCAACACCTACAGATTTACAATGCTTATTTGTAATATAAAGTATTAAGAGAAGGGTCCAGCCAGAGTGGCTCAGTTGATTGAGCAATGACCTATGCACTGAAGGGCTGATGGTTTGATTCCCTGTCACAGCATACACCTGGGTTACAGGTTTGATCCCCAGTCTGGAAGCAACCAATAGATATTTCTCTCTCTTTCTCTTTATCTCTCTCTCTTTCTCTCTCTCTCTCTCTCTCTCTCCCCTCCCTCCCTTCCTCCCTCTCTCTCCCTCTCTCCCTCTCCCTCTCCCTAAGCATGTCCTCAGGTGAAGAGTAAAAAATAAAGTATTAAGATAAAGAAAACAGTAGAATACACTTTTTTTAGTTAACAAAAAAAAGATGAAAGACAAAGTTGTTTAACAGTGATGGGAGATTAACTTGATTGGAAAAGGAAAGAATAGGACAAGGAAAAAGAATGGAAGAGACAGGATGAAGATCAAATAAATGACAAATAGAAGATTTTACAAAGCAAAGTACAGTATTCTGTGAGCTTCTGGCAAAGGGGGCCAAGGATGCTGATTTTCCAGGAGGGTGGGCTCTAGAGAACAGTTAGCAAACTCTGCTCTTGCCAGTGTCTAGAAGACTTGGTTGAGGGGCAGCAGCACTTAGCCAACGGCATGGCAGGAAGAGAGCTTTATTCCATACGTTCCTCCTCAAAGGGGAAACTTTCATAATCATCTCTTGCCAAATCATTCTCAGCCCCACTCTCCTCCTAAAACAAAACAAATCTTCTCTCCTCTCCATTCCCATCCTTCAAACCTTAGTTCAAATGTAATCTCCTCTATGTGGACCTTCCCCAATTCACTCAGAGTTTCATGCTTCCATAACAACATGTATTTCTCTTTCTATCCTGCAAACCATAATACAGTTGTTCCCATCCCCTTTCCATACAGCCTAGGAGCTCCTTAAGAGCAAAGCCTATAACCTATTGGAGTTTGTACCTCCAATATCTAGCACAAAGCAAGATGGGTGGAAGATGAGAAGCCCCTGGTACCCTGCACTGCTGCAGGCAGAAACATCAGGATCATGGCTCCTAACTATTTGGGCAACATGCACCAACCCTCTGTTTTAAAAACCTGAGGAAAGCCACAGATGCTCAGCCTAGAAAAATACATACACATGCACTCACTCAAAAAAATAAAATAAAATAAGAAAAGAATAGTAAGCTAGGAGTCAAAGGATTCTGGATTCTACTCCCTGGTTCTGTCAAAAACTCCAAGTTCTCAGAGAAGGCAATTTCTCAACTGACAAAATGAAAATAAACTATCATTTGCCCTTCAATTATCCTTCATTAGATGACTGTAACAAAAATATACATAAATACTAAAAATGTGGAATAATTCTGAAATTAAAATTGTTATATACGAGCAAATTGTTTTTTATATTGGCTCACAGCTTGCTACTTTTACAGCTATCTATTTTGCCAAAAAACAAACAAACAAACAAAAAACATGCTGTGAAATAAATTGACTGTTTACTACAATAGCTAAAAGAACTGTTGTTTTTTTCCAAAACCCCAAAGGCCCTATAGTTTACATACCCAAGAGGGGTGAGCACAACAAGTATAAAGAAGCAAAGACGAATAATCCAATTAATTCACATTTGTTCACACCATTGACTACAGATTCCTTTGATAACAATATGCTTTTGTACTAACAAACCTGTAATACAATTGACCAGTATGCTTTGAGATGTTGAGCTTCTACATGTCTGGGATTCTTGATGGCAATCTGAATATTCTCTTCTCTCCAGTTTGACCTTATCATCAACAACTGTCACAGGTGGGTTGCAGTCAACAGCGCTCCCCTCTTCAGAATGGGAAGCTATGAAATATTCTAACTAATGAGTTCTAAGAGACAGACCTTCTGAGGCTGACTTTAATATAAAAAGCCATTGTCGTGCTGGCCGGTGTGGCTCAGTTGGTTGGAGTGTCGTCCAGTACACAGAAAGGTGGCAAGTTCGATTCCCAGTCAGAACACATACCCAGGTTGCAGGTTCGATCTCTGGTTGGGGCACATATGGGAGGCAACCAATCAATATTTCTCTCTCACATAGATGTTTGTCTGTCTGTCTGTCTCTCCCCCCGCCTTCTCCCCCTTCCTCTCTCTAAAAATCAATTTAAAAAAACAACAACACATGTCCTTGGGTGAGCATTTTTTTTTAAAGCAACTGTCAGGCAGTCACGTGAAGACCCTTAGGGGCTCCACAGAAACAGCGTAAGTTAGGAATCCCTCTACATTTCAAGTCTGCTGAAAGTGGAAGAGGACCTGTAGACACACCCAGGCTGGCCTTCTGTCATTGCCCCTTCTCTACTCCTACCAGCAACCCAGCAGGTCCTCCTGGCCAGTCTAGGCTCTTCTTTTTATCCATGCCAATCTTTTACAGACAAAGAGAATACAGATATTAACTGTAAAATAGAAAAGCAACAAGTTGTGTCTACGTACTCTGAATGTTTTGACTGTGGAAATACTATAAGAATTTTTGCAAATTCTTATCTGCTTAACTAGTTCCAGTGAACCAGAAATCCACAAAATTAAGACGTTTTAGGGAAAACCACAACTTTGCTTTGTTGAGTCTTAAAGCGGGTATAGGTTTTTTTCTAGAAGTAAAGGCACCAAGGCAGAAATAAGAATAACCAAGTCCTAAATCTGTCCTTTTAGAACTCAACAACAGCAACAAGCATATTCAACTCCAGCCTACCCCCATCTTCTTAGGCTTCTTGCCCAAAGCAAGAGTGCTTCTGACTATACCAGGAAAGGATGTGCTTGCTCGTCTTAAATAGAAATGTGTAAAGAACAAGTAACCAATTTATTTATTCATATGCTTGTTTATTTTAGCCAAGGACAACAAAAATGCCAGGCAACTTGGCCTTGTTCCTCTAAGCAACCTCTGCAGAGCTCAACAGGTGTTCTTCACTAATCAACACCTAGTCAGCTCTAGACCTACCCAACTCTTCCGTTTCCTTCAATTCTACCCACTATCATCCCTTAAGTCAAAGAAAGCCATATTTCTTGCCCTTCTTTGGCTCATCTTAATTGTAATGCTGTCTCTTTACTTTACCAAATGACCTCTAAGAATACTTCCTCTGGCTCGACCCCTTTGGCTTGGCCTTAATGCACTCCTCTTATCTTCTTGGACTTGGTCAACACTGTGCTAAATGATGCTTTCAAGAAAAGAGAAAGTAAACTAAATCTATCTATGTCCCTAGGACCTGGAGCCAACACTTAACTGTGCTTTCAAGGAATCAGAGGAGGAGACTATATCCACACTGGGGGAGCGGGGATCTGGATTAGAATAATTCACTTTCATAAAACACTCTATACTTAACTTCACAGCATTAATAAACATTATCCTTAGCACTGGCCGGGTGGCTCAGTTGGTTGTAGTGTCATCTGTACAACAAAAGGGTGAGGGGTTCGATTCCTGGTCAGGGCACATATCTAGGGTTGCAGGTTCGATCCATGGTTGGTGTAGTCAGGGCACGTACAGGAGGCAACTGATCAATGTTCTCTCTCAATCTGTTCCTTTCTCTCTCTCTAAATCAATATAAAAAACATATCTTCAGGTGAGGATTTAAGAAAAATGTATCCTTAAATTTGTATAAGTGCAATTAGTATGTGTCTCTTCCTGCCTGTACTCCCCACCAGACTAAAAGCTCTATGAGGGCAAGAACTATGTCATCTTGGATCATGATTAATTTCCCTACACCCTACAAATCCCTGGCACACAGGTCTAACTCAATTATTCTAGTCCAGTCAGATAAAAATGAATTAAACTTATGCCTCAACAAAGCTCTGGTATAAGGTAATACTTCCCACATTTCTGGATCTGTTCTTAATAAGAATTGCTACCATTAATCTGGCACCATTCTATGATTTTTACAGGTATTCTCATCTAATCCACATGACAAACCTATGAAGTAGGTACTATGATCATTCCCATTTTATGGGAGAGGCATTTGAGGCATAGAGAGGTTATATAATTTGCAAAGCATGTGACAGGGAAGACAAATCACAGGGGAGATAGCAAGGAAAACAACTCAAATCATTCCATGTCTGCTCACCAGATGCTTCTATGTCCTAAGCATTATGTGGCCTGTTTCTGAGACAACCACAGGGCCTTAGGGGTCCATAACTACTGATGAACCATGGATGCAAAAGTCCCTGAGAAGTCTATAATTAGAAAATGAAAATTTAACTCACCTTCCACTGCTCCTCTGGAAGCAGCTTCACAACCACCAGATCCCCATTCAAGGCTCTATTACGAGCAACAATCCCATCAATAAAAATGTCTCTATCACCATCCTAGGTTGAAAAAAGAAATAAAATAATTAGCTTACCAAAGCTTGAACCAAAAATTACTTCCTTGGTTTAAAAACTATGAACTCCACAATCTGTCCACTGATTTAATAGGAACACTAGTACATAGCCATAAGCAGACATAGAGGGAGCTCAGTCCCTTTGGAACTAACAGAAATGATGACAAACACATAAGAGCAGATTAACAGAATACTAACAAATCACCAAGTAAGAGAAAATCTACTACAAGCAGGTCAAAGACAAACAAAAAACACACGAAGCAAAAAACTAGGATTGCATGCTTTCATAACTGAAATAAGAAAGGAGTAGGTTATCCTTATTACGTTTTAAATAAAATAAAGCATGCTGATATCTTTTCTACATCAGCTAAATTTTTTTTAAATAAGGGTAAGAGTAAAAAAAAATAGAAGGTTTTCAAGAAAACAGAACAACAACATATAATCCCTCAAGAACATCAAGAGCTAGAGCAGCTCTAGAATGTGGGTTCTCTAAGAGGAAGCCAGCAAAATCCTACTCCCCCAAACCTCCCCCCAGAAAAGTGGCAGAAAGAAAATTGGGATTGTTTTTATGGATAGCAAAGTAGATAGCAAAGAAGAAAAGGAATGTAAATGAGATTCATAAAGCATTCTCATGTTCTACCTCTCTCACTGACCTAGGAGCAGGGTAAACTGTGAATGCAACAAGGCTTGGGTACTTTCACCCTCAATCACATGCTTATAAACAACCCACTTTAAGCAGTGTAGCCCCAGTGAACTCTGCAGGTACCGATTGCTAAACTTAAATCAGTGCCAGATTACGTTACAAAAATAAGCCAAATTTTACAAAAATACTTAAGTGGAAAACACAGCTAAGAAAAAGCATGCCTTCAACAGGTAAGTGACAAAATTAAGTATTTTCCAAATGTTTCATCAACAAACATGCAAACATGTACTCTTTTCTTTTATCATTCCAAAAGTTTATACTACATGCTTCTTTTCAGAGGATAAGAGAGAAATAAAATGTTAATTTTTCTTAAATAGCAAACAGGCTTGGAAACTCAAAATTTTCTAATATAGATGCTATAGAATGGATTTAACACTCAACAGATGACTACAGGTGATTACTATGACATGTTAGTCAAAGTTAAAATTAGCATTCCAAATTTACCACCCCCACGGGATTTTAGACACTCAGCAATTTTTATAGTTTCTGGTTACAAATCATAAGAGATCTTTTAGAACAGTCTTTCTGTTCAAGTTCCACTCTAGCCATGGGCTGGCAGCTATGCCTGCATACTCTGCCAAACCTGACCCACCCTAGTCCCTGAGGGACAGCTACCATGTTAGCCACAAAGACAGAATTACCACAGTTGACCTCAAGACAAGCAAGAAAGAGGCAACCAGAGAGTGAACAACTAAAGTGTGACATACCACCATCAATCACTGCCTTCTGCAATTTATAAAGCAATAGGATATCTCTGGCTTCCTAAGAATGAAAAAAGAGCTGTCTGCATGTAGGTCATCCTACCCATTATCATGTGTCAAAACATGCAGTGAGATGCCTCTTTCATGAGCAGTTACACCACCCTTAGACAGCTCAGAGATTTAAGACGTAAGATGCTGGTATTGCCATGTTTCTATCCCAGGAAACCAAGAGAAGCAGGCTGAGTTGAACTTCAGAAAAGACACAAATCTATAAATATTGCACCACTACTGAGCTCTTACTTCATTCATTCAGAAGCCTGTATCTATTGCAGAATCTCTTATTTTAAAGACACAAAACATGGGAATATCTCAATGTTAAAAGTTTGCATCATCCCTCTTAACTACTTTTTAAGGCCAAAAGGTGAACTGGCTGCAACATCTGTCACCCCATTCTTTTTTATGGCTGAGTAATATTCCATTATATATATGTACCACATCTTCTTTATCCACTCATCTATTGATGGACACTTAGGTTGCTTCCATATCTTGGCAATTGTAAATAATACTGCAATGAATATAGGGGTGCATATATCTTTTCAAATTAGTATTTTAGACTGCTTCAGATAAATACCCAGAAGTGGAATTGCTGGGTTATATGGTAGTTCTATTTTTCATTTTCTGAGGGACCTCCATACTGTTTTCTATAGTGGCTGCATCAATTTACAATCCCACCAACAGTGCACAAGGGTTACCTTTACTCCACATCCTCACCAACACTTGCTGTTTGTGTCAGTAATACTTTTTATATAATCCAATGGGTAAGACCTAAACTTGAGATATAAATGTGAATCCTTGGCTTCTGGAGGAGAAGGGAATAAAAGAACTAAACTGAGCTTGAGACCAGGTCTTAAGGTTAATATAATAACAACAATATCTATGAAGTACACGACTACACTTGTATTCTCACTAAACCTGTCCTGTAACATTATGAAATACTAGAGGCCCAGTAATTGGATTCATGCACCAGTGGAGTCCCTCATCCTGGCCTGCGCCCTCTCATAATCCGGGACCCCTCGGGAGATGGTGGACTGCAGGTTTCGGGGATGGGACCAAAACCGGCAGCCCGACATCCCCCAAGGGATGTAGTAGTGTGCAAAGCGGCAGGCAGCCAGGGAGGAGCCTGAGCCCGGGCGCCATGCTGCTCCGCTTGTGCCTGCAGTCGCCCAGTAGCACTGCCACGGAGGCAGGAGAGGTTCATGGGAGAGGTTCGGGCCGCTGCAGCTGCGCTCCCACTGTGGGAGCACACTGACCACCAGGGGGCAGCTCCTGCATTGAGTGTCTGCCCCCTGGTGGTCAGTGCATGTCATAGCAACCGGTCAAACAGTCAACTGGTTGAACCATCGACCTGTTGGTTAGGGTTTTATATATATAGATGTTAACTGACATCTTATATAATAAAACCCTAATATGTAAATCGACCGAACAGCAGAACGATTTCCTCATCTATAAGCAAAAGTTTATTCCTATAGTATCTTCTGCCTTGAAAAATATATAATTCTACTGCTATCCTATTTATGGTGTCATAGTTGAGTCAGGAATTTAAGAACATTGCTCTCTTAGCTTTGTACAATCAAGTCTTATTCAGAGGCCTGCTGCTAACTATATGCCAGGGTGGACTTCCTTTAATGGAAAAGAGCCTGTTAAAAATGAGTCATGAACATAAGGAAGGGTATAAAGACCCAATGGTAAAAAGCCTTGTACCAAGTCCTATCACCTACATAAAAGTGATGTGAGAAAATGACCAAGAAAAAAAAAAGCATTACACATTACTTTTGGACAAATGTGCAGATTAGCTCATGCAGTAGAATGAAAGTAGATAGAATATTTGTTTAGGAAAGATTAACATAAATCAGTGGAAAACCCATAAATCCTTTTAAGCTATAAACCAAGGGCATCCAATTACATGAACTGGTGGGTGTCTGGGTGGGTTCAGCTGCTCTGCAGCCTAGTAACAAATGCCACCCTTTTCATTTGAAGTGTGATTTTAAGACTGGCAGAAAGGGTTGTTAACCAAAAGCAAATTTTGTTTAAATCTGAAACAAATCCTTGCCCGTCCTCAATTTTGTTTTACTACTCTGCTTTTTTAGTAAGAATATATTATTTCGGTTCCAGAGCACATCTAAAAATTGAATGTGAAATTAAGTTTATTATAAAATTATTGGACTTACCGGGGAAGGAATGAAGGCTTCATGAAACTTCTTTGGATTAATTCTCAATACACCCTTTAAAATAAAATTAAAAATATATGAAACTTCAACAAGTTATACATGTATGATTTTTTATACTTATTTTATTCTTCAATAAAAAGTTTTAAATTAAACAGTTTGATCTAGAAAACAAGTTAGATTATGAGAATTGCTCATTAAATGCATGAAACATGATTTATATTGGTACATGTAACATAGGGTTCCATCAAATACTGAAAGCTCACACTGGCTCCTTGCTGTGAACAGGTAGAGGTAAGAAGTAACAGAGCCTGGCGTGGAGTGGGAAAGTGGCAGCTATTGGGATTGTATATGCCCCTATATGCTGGTCTTCAAATTCAAACTTTTATTTTAAGAACAAGGTGATCAGGAAATTACACTTCACTATATAATGGCCTTTTTAATTCTCTAAGACCTTTCCACAATTGCTTGTTTCTGTGACAATTTTCAAAGTGATACAGGTTGATTTCCAACCTGGATACTTAGACTCGAGGGATCAGATGCATAATTTTTTACTCTAGCCCCTCTGCAGAGCGGAATGAGTCAATAATTCAAAGTGGTCCAGAACCAGCTCTTAATGTAAATGGGGATCCTGGCTCCAATAGCCAGGCCACCCAGTCTGCTTTCAGCTTCATGTTATTCCAGCACCAAATCAGGGTCTGCTTCTATTTATGCACAGGGAGCAGGTGGGGGCTGTGCTCAATACCAGTTCAGTATTTTAGGCTCTTGCAGGAAGTTGTAACCCTCCCCACGTCCCAGCTGCATCTGAAGGCCAATGGAACACATGGGTAGAGGCCATTATTTTGCTAAGAGCCAGATTCAAAGAGTATCTTGAGAAAGCGTTTTAAATAACATTTCCCCCCTAAAAGGTCGAAAGACTCAAAGATGCATAATTAACAAAACAGGTAAGGGCATAAAATAAAGCAGAAAATAATTCTTTCTTTCACTGGCCCACCATGTTTAAATTATAAATTTCCATGCAACAGTTTATACTACCAATAATATCCCAATACGACTACTACAAATGCTCATTCAGTCCTTAGTTTAATAATTATTTCTTGAATTCTGACTATATTCAAAACCCTGAGATAGATAATATGGAAGAGAGAGTGATGACCAAACTCAGCCCTATTTGAAGTAAAGCATTGGTCATGCTCATATGCATGAATACAAGTCCTTTGGTTGATCTCTTACCCCACGCCTCCTCCCCTGCCTTCCCTCTGAGGTTTGAAGGTCTATTTGATGCTTCTATGTCTCTGGACACAGACAATAAGAGGGTGGTGGGGTCATGTGCTGGGGGCCGGGAGGGGGCAGGGAAAGGTCAATAGGGGAAAAAGGAGACATATGTAATACTTTCAACAATAATTTTTTAAAATGAAGTAAAGCATGAATGCTGTGAGGATGCAGCTCACTTTCAGCTGGAGGCACCTCCTTGACTTAATTGAAACCTGGCCATCCCTGTTCTCTTCCAAACCCCACAGATGCTTTGAAGTTCATGCCATTAGCTCCTGCTATAGCTCCTAGGGCTGTCATCTTCAAACCTGATCATATCCCTGATTCACGAAAGCTTTGACTTGTAGCTCACTCCCAATCCTATAAACATTTAATGGGACTTCACATCCATATTGATGACCAGGCAACCCTAACAGTCACTCTAGCCACCTTTTCTTCCACCCAACCCTAGTCACTTTCTCCCATGTTCACACCCCATGTCTTGTCATCATTGCTAATAACACCACCTCTAAACACAAAAAGTCAAATATCATACTTTCTGATTAAAATCTCCTGGCCTTCCAGCTCACTTACGGTAGAAACACCACTTCGAAAAGTTTTCATCTTCACTAAGAACTCCAACCCATGAACCTGACCACACTTTGACCATTCATCATCTTCACACTATGCTTACTCCCTTTCTTGGCTACCTAATTGCCATGGCCTGCCATTACCTCCTGCCCTTGCAAACCTGGAGCCTTGAGTCCACTCTTCCTCTTATATGTAACTAGTAAAACCTCACTCCCAGTTGACCGCAACTATCTGCCTTCTCCATGACTAAACCCAAGGAGCTGAATGTTACTGTAGAAAAAAACCACACAACTGGACTAAGTAGCCTAACATGGCAATCACAAACATGTTTTCCATGGCTTACAGGATATTTGAGAATATTCAAAACTAAGGAATTTCACATATCCTATATAATAAAAGCCTAGGTGGCATTGCATGATGTCGTCACAAGATGGCCACCACAACGTCGTCACAAGATGGCCGCTTTACGTCATCACAAGATGGCCACCACAAGATGGCCAGCAGGGGAGGGCAGTTGTGGGCAATCAGGCCGGCAGAGGAGGGCAGCTGGGGGAGAACAGGCCAGCAGGGGAGGGCAGTTGGGGGTGAGATCAGGGGGCCATCAGGCTGGCAGGGGAGGGCAGTTGGGGGCGATTGCACCAGCAGGGAAGGGCAGTTGGAGGCAATCGGGCTGGGAGGGGAGGGCAGTTGGGGGCAATCGGGCCAGCAGGGGAGGGCAGTTTGGGGTGATCGGGCAGGCAGGGGAGCAGTTAGGTGTCAATTAAGCCGGCAGGGGATCAGTTAGGGGGCGATCAGGCAGGCAAGCGGTTAGGAGCCAGCAGTCCCGGATTGTGAGAGGGATGTCCGACTGCCAGTTGGGATCGGACCTAAATCAGCAGTCGGACATCCCCCAAGGGGTCCCAGATTGGAGAGGGTGCAGGCCAGGCTGAGGGACACCCCCCCATGCACAAATTTTGTGCACCAGGCCTCTAGTAAATATATATATATTTCTAGATTTTGTTGAAACATCAGCTAACCCCACCCAGCAACAACCACTTGAGTTGAATAGCAGATGCTTCTCTTATAGCAATAAAAACAATCACAAATAACACAACCTTCCTAATGCCGCAACCCTTTAATACAGTTCCTCATGTTGTGGTGACCCCCAACCATAAAATTATTTTCGTTGCTACTTCATAATTGTAATTTTGCTACTGTTATGAATCGTAATGTAAATATCTGATATGCAGGATGTATTTTCATTGTTCACGACCCACAGGTTGAGAACCGCTGAGTCTTATACCAATATACTACATGTCACATACAGTTGTAAGAGCCTTGTATCTATTCAACTAATTTAACCCTCAAAGCAACCCTAGGTGATAGGTACTATTATCCTCTTTTTTATAAACCAGAAAACTGAGACACTGAGAGGTGCCCACTTTCACACTACATTCTAACCCAAGCAGTCTGGTTCCAGATACCTTGCTCTTAACTACTACAGACTGCTTCTGTTTGCCATACTCACACCCAGGGCCTCTTTGCTCACTTATGCCATCTACTCCCTTCCCACAGAAAAACCGAACTATATTCCAACCCTCAATCTTTCCAATCTTGGTGAATGACAACATCATCCATCCAGTTTCTTGACTCAAACTCTTAATAACCATCCTTTATTCCTCCTTTTGCCTCACCTTTCACATTTAATCTATTACTATGTCAAGCCAGTTCTAGCTCCACATCCATCCACTTCTCTCCACCTTCACTACCACTCGCCTTGTTCATGTCTCCCTATTTTCTTGCCGGATGTACTCTGATGGCCTTCTACATGGTCTCCAGCTTCCACTCTAGTCTACTTGTCTTACAACTGCCAGAGATGTTTTTAAAGCATAAAACAGATCATGTGCTTCCCCTGCTTAATGCCCTTTAGTGACACCTCCGTCTCCATCATTCTTTAAATAAAATCCAACTCTCCGACACAGTCCAGAGACCCTACATGATTTGGCAGCTGCCTAACTCTCCAACTTATTCTCACATGGTAATTCCTTTTGCTTGTCATGTCCAACAGGTTCCTTCCTTAGTCCTCAAAAACACCAAGCCTTTTTCTGCTCGCTATTCTTCTACTAGCTACTCTCTCTCTGCCTATAATGTTCTTCTCCTAATTCTTCAAATGGCTGGCTCATTTTCACCCTTCAGATCTCAACTGAGAGATTACCTCCTTAGAGGTAGTTACAGCTCTCATCACAGGTATAATTTCCTCTTTATTTCTTTACTTGCTTTTGCCTATCTCCCCAGTGAATTGCCTCTCTGTTATGTTTGGCACTTAGTAGGCAGTCAAGAAACATTTGTTGAGCTAATTAATTGACTGCAGAGTTGAAGCTCTCCCACCACCCCTAATAATAATGTTAAGAATGTCATCTGTTTCTTCTAAATGACTGGACAGTCCACTGTAATGTCACTTCTATTCTTCTCTTTAACTCACACCCAAACGTTCTCCAGCTGATTTCACTCCTAACAAATGGTGAAGGTCCTAGAAACTAGGTTATCCTGTCCTGTCTTCCTGAACTAGAATTTCTTTTGAGGTTCAAAAACACCAATATTTTATTCCAGGGGGAACTCTGACATCATGTCTTGGGCAGCTCTGGGGGCCCAGCTTGAACCACCTTTAGACATAGCAATAGCTGGGATTAGGAAACCAACCAATTCTACCATCTTCCTATCCATGTCGCTTTGGTCATCACCACAAACCTAAGTCCCTTCCAAGACTGTCTATTCCATACTCTCAATTTCTCCCAACATCCCCTAGAACAACCTCAAAACACTGTACCTACAGAGGGAGAAAGGACATATATTCTTTGATATAATGATTTGTTACAAAAAAAAATTCCAAAATACATGTGCATGATCATGAGTTATTGCTGGTCAGTTCAAACATAGGGAAGAGATTTCTTGGTCACTGTGGACAGTAATTTGATACCAATGAAATGTCAAAATATCAGTCAAAGTATTGAAAGGAAACAAAAACTATTATGCTATCCTATTTTAAAATATTTCAATATCTCTCATTAAAAGTTGCTCCTCTGGGTTGAGGAAAGAAAAAGGATGTAACAGTATGCTTATGTGTGAATACAAAAGTCACATGCTTATAAGTATGTCTAGAAAGTTTATTTTCTCCAACAACACTAAAAAATCTCTTATTGTCTAGCTCTCTACCTTACCCATTAAGGCCTGCACACATGAAGTTCATGTCAGAAAGCAGATGGACTCTGTTTTTTTGCCTATGAAAATATTATTTACAGTTGTTGTATATTTCACACAGTGACCTCATATCTGGAACCCATTCATTTCCCCATCTGCAGAGAACAACTGTTCTCATCTGTCGGGGGGGAGGCTCTGGCTAGAGTCTATTGATGTCACAGGCCAGGAGGAATCACTTAAAAATGCCTGGAAATGAGAGTTGTTATACTTATCAGGTTTTTGGTGTTTTATTTTACTATCAGCAAAGAGTTACTGCAAAAGTAAAAATTAATAGGAGGGAGCAAAAATGAATACAATTGCAGAATATTTCCCTCACATTATCTGTGTAAATCCTATAACCAAAATTATAAGCAATTTTTCTTTCAAGTTATAACAACCAAGATTCCCCTCACTCTTCTTCAAAGACAGTAAGTACCTTGATCCTTTGTTCAGCCAGTAAGTAAATGTTTATTCAATATAAACTTATTAAGCATCAATCAAATGCCAGCTAGGTGGGAATAAGACATGATGATCCTGCACACAAGGAAGTAAACAATCTATATGAGGAAACATAAAATGTCAAGAAATGGTAATAGGATTAAAATAAAGGGTAAACCAAGAAGTCAGCTTCAGGAAAGTAGTAAAGGCTGATTCTGTGGAGATTGTAAGTCAGGCCTCTCAGAGGAGGTGATATTTAAATAGAGACTTAAAGGTCAAGCAAAATGACATCAAGATAGTGGGAGAAGGCGTTTCAAGCACCAGGAACAGCATGTACAGAGAAACAGAGGAGTCAAAGAGCAGAGTCTTTACAGGAAAAGTTTGAAGATCAGGGTGAATGGAGCAGAACGCAACTGGAGGAAAGTGCAGGGGATGAGAATGGGAAAGGCACAACAGGTCCTCGTATGTGGAACAAGAAAAAGGCCAAGAAACTGTACATAAAATGGAGTTTAGTGTGGGCCAAATGATAAACAGCATGTGAATGGATTAATGAATGGCCAAATGGCCAACTCTCCTAAGAGAGGCCTGTCAAAGAAATCCTAGGGAAGCTTTAAAAATAAAGCCAATAGGACTTCTAAAGTCAGAAAGATTAACTCATCTGTTAACTACAGTTTTCAATTCAAGAGTGTATATTAATCACATGTGCACTTAACCACAGTTAAATACAAAAAGGTGACAAAAAAGGAAGAGAAGACAATGGTATTTATTAATTGGCTGGACCTTCAGCCAAAAACACAAATATAGAAGCTGAGCTCTCAGAATGAGAAAAAATCTAACAGTCAACATTTTCAAGTGAGCCACGCTTAGTATTTCTATACTAATCCAAGAATTATGAAATGAACTTAATTCAAAGAATATGTGGCTCTGCCTGCCTCTCCATCTCACGACCTACTATCTGGCTCCCATTTCATGGCTAAGAAGACCTAAGCTACCCTACTCCATACTGTTTCACAAGTTCATGTTTTTTTAGTGCCACTATTCTGCCCACACATTTAATAGATCCAAACCAGTCCGGCTGGTGTGGCTCAGTAGTTGAGCACCGACCCATGAACCAAGAGGCCCCCAGTTGATTCCCAGCCAGGACACATGCCTGGGTTGCAGGCTCCATCCCCAGTAGGGACAGGCAGAAGGCAGCCAGTCAATGTTTCTCTCTCTCATCTATGTTTCCGTCACTCCCTCTTCCTTCCTCTCTCTCTAAAAATCAATAGACATATTTTTTAAAAATAAAAATAAAAAATAGATCCAAACTAGTCATCCTTCAATATCCACAGCAGATGTCACCGCCCCGTTTCCCAATTTCCGCCAACCACTCTCCCATACCCCGGGTCACACTTTTATCTGAGTACTTACCATCTATCCCCAAATCATCTATTCACATGACTGCCTGCCCCCCATTGGGCTGCCAGTTCAAAGTACACAAAGGCAGCCTCACCCACCTTCATTTCAAGAGCACCCATGCGCATGCTCTTAATTATAACTGTGCCTGGCTAACAGTGGATGCTCAATAAACATTTGCTGAGCCAAACCATTATACTAGCTTGTAAAAGTACTTTGTAAACTATAAAGCACTCAACAAATATTGTTCTGCTGATGTTTACTGTTTCCTTTCAACCTTATTCTCCATCACTCAGCTTTCATGTGCTCAAGGCAAACTGAACTATCAATGATTCTTACAGCCAAAACCTATTTTCCACTTTTGTCTGAGTAGCTTACATTTGTCCCTACATTTATAAAGCTCTTTCTCTTATCTTTACTTATTCAAATAGTACCAATCCATGGCCTGGATCAAAAATATTACTTCCAGACAATACCCCGCGCTCTTTCTTTCTAACTTGTCAGGCACGATGACTCCTGCAAAGAAGGGTGGTGAGAAGAAGAAGGGCCGCTTCGCCCTCAACAAGGTGGTGACCAGGGAGTACACTATCAACATCCACAAGTGCATCCATGGTGTGGGTTTCAAGAAGCATGCCCCTCGGGCACTCAAGGAGATCTGGAAATTTGCCATGAAGGAGATGGGGTCTCCAGACATACGCATGGACACCAGGCTCAACAAAGCTATCTGGGCCAAAGGAATAAGGAATGTCCCATCTCGTATCAGGGTACATTTGTCCAGAAAATGTAATGAGGATGAAGATTCATCAAACCAGCTGTATACATTGGTCACCTATGTGCTTGTCACCACCTTCAAAACTCTACAGACCATTAATATGGACAAGAACTAATGCTGATGGTTGAATAAAGTTATACAACTACCTTGGAAAAAATATACATATATATCACTTCCAATAAAACATTCCTGGACAACCTTAACTGGAAGTAACAGCTCCCGTCTCTGAAACCCCAGAGCACTATGCTGTCTCTGTCTTGTGGCACCTATTACATCTAATTGCACTGTAGTTGTAAGAAGTGGGAAGCCCTATGCCTGTTATGTCATCATTTCTTTCAAAGCACACAGCATAGAAAAATAAACACTTTACTGATTCCACATATTCAAGGAATAGTCGTCTAGTATGATTTAAGCACCTGGATAAGTGTTCCTCTCTTCAAGCCTTCTGAAACATCCTCCTTAGACATGTAATTTTCAAAGATGCTCTTTTTCTTCCCTCGTATGGACTTGTTCTTTGACTTTTTGTCACTTGGCGAAGCACCAACACCATGTGGGCCAACCACGGAGGACACACCTAGAAACATGAGGCAGTAATCAACTCTTTCCTCAATCAAACATCACTGTATTTTTAAAACTAGAGATATTTTACCTTTTTTTTAATTTAGAATTACCAACATGAAAATGAAACTCCCTGCCCAGGCAGCGTGGCTCAGTGGTTGAGCATCAACCTATGAACCAAGAGGTCACGGTTCAATTACGGCATGTGTTACCGGCTTGATCCCCAGTGTGGAGCATGCAGGAAACAGCTGATCAAGATCTCTCATCATTGATGTTTCTATCTCTCTCTCCCTCTCCCTTCTTCTCTGAAATCAATAAAAATATATTTTTCAAAAATATTTAAATAAATTTTTAAAAAGAAAATGTAATTCCCTGATAAAGATTTCAAATAGTCACAAGAAGGAAAGAATAGGTAAGAAAACATTAATAAAATATATACAGATGAGACTTGAGTTTTAAAACAATACCACATATGCATGGAATATAATCTGAATAATGGGTTCAGTATGCTTTCTGTTTATAGACACAAACTTTTTAAAAATAGGAATTACTAAAAGATCGCCATTTTTCAAGAGGAAATTAAATAGCTGTGCTCAATATATCAACAATTTAAGACAACAAGAAATCACACTTAATTCTAGAACAAATAATGCAGGAGCATATTTAACAAGTCATCAAAAGAATTATAGGCCTCCTCAATCCTAAAACCCGCCCTGCACCTCCATTCCATTTGTATTTCAGATCTCTACTTGCTAGAGTAGACTCCATTTTCCTTTTGCTACCTCTGAGGGTCCCCAGGTTCAGCCTGCAGTCAGGATGACTCATTACTGGTTCCAAGGTTGCCTCTTCTCTCCAGATCCAGAGGGGCCTCCACTGCTCAGGCTCAGAGTTCTTCCTGCTTTGAGCAGCTCAGCTGTTACAAGCTGAAACCAAAGAGAAATGGGTGACTGAAGAGCAATTAACCTGTAGCCTCCTCTGTGCTCTTGGAAATTTAGTACTTGGATGGCAAAGGCAGTGTGGTGCGCTTCCTGGGTCCTGGCGTCACTTTGTCCTGGGCATTAATCAAGCACACCATCTGTCCTGAGTTTCTTTTCAAGGCCTTCACCTCCACAGTTATCACTAGCTTGCTTATTTGGACCACTTCAACTAAGAACTTCCACAAATGGAACAATGAGGTAGAAGTTAAGGAGTTGTGCAGTTCTATTTAGCTTGTGAAATGCACAAGAGCAGGAGGGAAGACAGTTTTGAAAAAGTAAACTTAGTCAAGAGATGTAGCATTGACTAAGTTTAACCTTGGACAAAATGACGTTCCTCTATGAAACCAAGTAATCAATTCCTTAGAATTCATCAACAAAATCTAATTCACTGCCGCAAAACTATGCAGGGAACCCTAGATGGTTCACTAGCTTTCAAAAAAATAGAAATATTGTAGTTAAGCATCTATTTCCCTATTCTGATCTGCCATCACTTCAAACCAGTCATCTGACCAGAAGCTCGGCCAGCTGCTTCTAAGGAATAGAAATCAGCTGCCTGGATCAGCGCACTGGAATATGGGACCCTGCAGCTGGCCCCATGACCTTCCACCTGGATACTGAACATGTCATCACAATGTCTACTTTCTATTCTCTGCTGGCCACCAGCCCAGGATTTAAGCCTATACTTGCAAATTTCCAAAATCCAGGTAAGCAGCCTTTATGCTTTCCCATAAAATGGATCAAGATGTCATTCTAAACACTAGCTTCCATTTCCTCTAAATTTCCCACTAACATCCTTTATCAAAATGATGGAATTTTTCTTTAAAATGAAATTAATATAACTCAGGAGAAGAGAAGCAACAGAGACAAAAGGTAATAGGCCATTTAGTCATACATGAAGAGATACAGAGAATGTCAAAAAGTGCAAAAAGGGAGAGAAATAGCTTGTCTTAGATAAAAAATTTTCAAGCTGAAACCATCTCATCTCATGGTACACATAAACTAATTATTAAAATTCTGTGGCACACCAAAAAATACATTTTTTCCTATATGACAAAAATAGGTTTAATTTTGATTCGTTCACACCAGACAGCTATTGTTATATTGGCTGTTGTCATTTTTTTATTTGCTAATTTAAGGGAAAAGGAGTCAGTGCCCCTGACTAAATAGACAGGTATTGCAATAGTCAGGTTTTAAAAATTCTTGTGGCACACCAGTGTGATGCAGCACACTGGTTGAAAATCTCTGTCTTAGATAAACAACAAAGTAGTGGGAAAGGCACATACAGGATTCCAGACTGTCTAATGGTCTAATTCAGAAATGCATTCATCCAGTCATTCATTCAACAAACACTTCTGCAAGGTACTGTACTAGGAATAATAATGGATACAAACATTAATTTATAAAAATCATATTGAACTAACAATACAAGTTGGGAAGTGATAGCATTAAATTTTTTTTAAATATGGCTAAATGTACTTATGATGAGAGAGAAAGGATATCTGCAGGACAGTAAATCAAAGAGAGCTTCAGAAAATTTTTAAGGAATAACTGAGAATGTGAGAAAATCATACTGCTGGCAAAGGAAACAGGGGTGGGGAGAGAAAGAGAGAGAGAGGGAGGAATACAGGCAGGTTCTTGCAACATTAATTCCGTTTGGATAGAGTCCAGTCTATATGAAGGAAAGCAGTGGTAAGGAAATTAAAACAAGTTGGAAGGTCTAGAAAACCAGCCCAGTTTTTCAGAAGTAGTAGGGACTTTCTGAAGCATGAGTGAGCAGGAGAGAAGACAGATCAGAGTTGTATTTCAGGAAAAATTAACCTGTGCCGGATTCAACTGCAGTTGAGAAAAACTGGCAGCAGCTGCACCTTAGGAAAGAACTAGAACAGAATGGGGAAAAGGAATGCCTGAACTAGAGTTGTACAGGCAGACACTGAAATGAAGAGACTTTTAACATGATGTCACACAGAACAAAGTGGCATCATTTGGCAACCAGGCAGATCTGAATGAGAGCAAGGAAGTGGCACCTATGTGAAATTTCAAACAAGGAAACTGAGGAATGATAACATCACTAAGATAGAGAAGACGATGAATTCTACTTGGGGTATTACATAGCTCCATATGGAAATGCATACTCTATACATGGAAATATATACCTTTACCTATACCTCTACACCAAATACTTAGAAACTAGAGCATAGTTTAGAGAAATGAATTACCCAGCCATTTGCATAAAGATGGTACTCCAAAGTTTTCTAAAATAGATGAAATTGCTAAGAAAGGGTAAACTATACAGAAGAGGGGCTAGGACAAAATCTGGGTTAGAGCAACTTTTAGGAAATGGAAAGAAGAAAAAGTAAAAAATATAACAAAGAAGTTAATAAAGATATACAGGCAGACACTGAAATGAAATAAAGAACTAACAAAATCAGATGTTACCAAAAAAAAAAAAAGGAAGAAAATAACTTCCAAAGACAGGCTCATGTTTCACATAATCAAAAAAAATCAACATAAAATAAAATAAAAATGGAGGAAATAGCTTAAAATGCAAGCAAATAAAAACAAACAATCCTAATATATTTAAAATGAAAAACACAACATACTAAAGAGATGGGGAGAGAACTAACCCAAATAACTTTTGAACAGTTAAAAACAAAAAAGAAATAAAAATTAAACTCAAATTAATCGTTTTTTAAAGAGGTATGGCTTAGCAATTCTAAAACTACTTTCTGGATATTCTAAGAGTAAACAAATAAGTAAATATACTGTGGATAATAGGAGTCAGACTTGTGAATGTGAGAAAGAAATTACAAATATAGAAAGTGTAAAAACTAGAATAAAGGCCTGTGGTTTTGAAATGAAGTTGGAGATATCATTGCCAGGGCTGACCAGCAGCCCCTGAACGACGGATGACCAGATTACTCAGACACAATTTGACTGTGAATGAAGGGCTAAGGGGCTTGCCACAACACCTGGGCCTAATTTCTCTTTAAATTCCTGCCTACTTGTTCCCAGAGATCAAGGTCTAATGTTCCAGCATCAGGGAACCAAGGATTATCTACACTAATAAAAGAGAAACATGGTAATTAGCGTACGACCGCTACCCTTCCCATTGGCTAATCAGGGAGATATGCAAATTAACTGTCAGCCAAGATGGCGGCCGGCAGCCAGGCAGCTGATGCGAACAGGGAGGCTTGCTTCCTTCAGTGACAGAGGACTCCAACGTTCCCCGCCTGCCTTGCCGGCCTCTGAGCT